CAACTGGGCTGCGCCCATGGGATGAAGTAGCAGGTCACAAGAGGTCGCTGTTGCCGACTGGCGATGAGGTAACAATGTGATGTGACTAGTGTAAACAGCTGCTCCGGCATCAAAAATCAATATTTTAGATTAAAGATAAAAATGGAGTCAGGGTTTGAACCTACGACCTCCTTAGCATCATGTACAGATGTGTGAAATTTGGACTATGAAATTCACACTCCTTGTTTGTACTGCGCTTGCCGTATTCAACAAAACTGGGAAACTGATGGGCCATGTTTGAGGGTTAGCGTCATAAAGGGAATGAGGCCGGATTTCAAAGGAATTTCAAATTGTATTGGACACCAATGCTCTTTAACGTGCTATCCAGCCCTATAAAACAGCGTTAAATAAATCGTAACAAATCCGTCTAGGAAAACTGGCTGGATGCCAATATATGTGGACAAATAAATTACCTAGAGCGGAGTTTGAAACTGGGACATCCAGTTCATTTTAGCATGTCGGATAAAGTTTAAATCAAATTAGGTTTTGCCCTTCACCGACGTTTGAACACTGTATACTCAGTGTGTTACCTCCCGAGTGAAAGTTGGAAAAAAATCACTCGGGTGGGACTCGAACCCACGACCTCCTGCTTTCTAGTGCAGATGTCTTACCACTCGACCACCGAGCTAACGCGATCGGCTGGCTGGTTCGAATCTGATGTACATAGCAGCAGGTACCGCATAAACTATTATAAGATGACATTTTTTTTTTTTTTTGGCGTCGGGGTGATATAAATCAAATTAGGTTTTGCCCTTCACCGACGTTTGAACACGGTATACTCAGTGTGTTACCTCCCGAGTGAAAGTTGGAAAAAATCACTAGGGTGGGACTCGAACCCACGACCTCCTGCTTTCTAGTGTAGATGTCTTACCATAAACTATTATAAGATGGCATTTTTATTAAATGTTTTCAAGATGCACTCTGAATTTTTTTTTAACTAATAACTAATGTCTTTAATTTCGATACATTTCGGAAATATGGATTTTTGCACACAATATTTTAGAGTGAGACCAAAGTCATAGCTCCTTTTATGCAAGACTGTAGAACAAACAATAACGTTTAAAAAAAAATACAAGATGCTTTTTCAAGGGGGAGTTGATCCTAAAACATGACCAAACTCACCGAAACAAATAGCCCGAGATTCACTGCCGTAGGAATCCATGTATTTGTTTGTAATATCACATAAATTATTTAACTAAATTTTTAATATCAATGACAAAATGACAAAATAAAAGTCTAGCGAATTACTAGGAACCACATGGTTCTTCCCATAAATGTTGAGTTCGAACGTGTGCCTCTTTGGGAGGGGGTGCCTGTTTTACACCTGACCTCTGTAATTTGACATGAAATCATGATTGAAATTACCCTCAATCATGTGTATATTTTTTTTATTTTTATTTGTTGGCATATGTTGTGCTTTACATAATCCCCTGGGAGATTGTGGGCATCAAAATGGTGTGTCCTGAGTTTACAATTTGTTTTACTTATCAGATATTAAAGCAAAGGTCTGTGTCTTGCACGGTGAAAGTTACAGTTCAACTTGATCGACTTCTTACAATTTAACCCTCATGTTATACTAAAGGTTTGTTATCACTTAAAATTACAAAAAGTTATGTTTTGTGTAGTGAAAGTAACAATTCAACTTGAGCGGCTTTCTACATTTTGATGACAGTGTTGTAAAATTGTTGACCAAGTTCTTACGCCGATCACTTTGAAATGTATATCGCAAGATAAGATATTTTAAATAACAAGATGTTTCAAGTAGTGTTGTTATACCTAGTGCGTAAAACAGTACTTTGGATTAATTAATGTTAAGGAATCAATTTAAAAAAAAGATTACTCTAAGCAGTTTTGGAAAGGTATAATTAAAAATGAAAATGAAACAGGTCTTGTTTTTAGGTTCCTTTTGCGTTGAGAAAAAAAAATATTGTACTATGGGAATGAAGTTTTGTTTAACCTGATGAATGTGTAAATACACACACATTAAGTGAAGTAGTACACAACTGTAAAAAAAAAAAATGTTTACCAAACACGCGTTGTGTAGCATTTTATATAATAGCAAGCGAGTTCTATAGTACATCTAAACATTGATAAAATGTTAAATCGAAAAAAAAAAAAAGAAATGAAACAAACAAACATTTTGTCGACAAAGTGGTGGGTTACAATATAACAACACAACTAAAAAAACACATGGGAAATGTGAGTTATTCAAAAGTAACAGATTAATGTAAATCAAAAACGGGATATAAAAGCGAATTATCGAGACAATGACAAACCATTCTGCACATAAAGTAAGCTGCAGTCGAACAATAAACAAAGATAAAATGTAACCCTTTGAGAACTAAAATCAAACATCACATTATCATAATTGTTAAAAAAAACAAAAAAAACAAGTGTGACTATTTACCATTGCATCTTATAAAGCAGTTATTTACAAAGCTAATCCATTACTTAACACTGTATGACAACATATTTCAATGTCACGGATTACCAATTCACAAAGGAGGTTAGGTGGCTTTTTATTTGTTAAAAAAAAAGAATTATAAGTGATAACATGAATATACAATTAATAGTACCCAACAGTTTCTATATACACACAGCAAATAATCGTTACTTAAAAACAAATTAAATAATTATTTTACTGTCAATTAAAAAATAGCACACCTACTGCTACAAGAAACATAACAAGCTTAAAGGTATAATGTGAGAGTTAACGACCCGAGGAAATATGTTTTGTATGTATCAGAAGAGTATTTTACTTTTTGTTCGCTCACCGCTAGCCCGTACAAAACACTGAAAAGGTCTTTTGAGCATCCTTGAATGAAATGTTGACGATAGCAAATATTGAAGGAGGAACTTAAAAAACTAAAAAAAAAAAACAATTCACGAAATTAAGGCATTAGCGTTCGTAGCTGCATCTGCTTCAGACACAAACAAAGAGAAACAGCCTAAGTCAGAGTTGATAAACTAAGTTTAAACAAAGTCCGGTAGTGACTCATACAGTTCATTTTATTTACAAGTACATGAAGGATGGTACACATGACTTTTTATATATTTTTTTGTCACTAAGATACATCAGTTCAGCTTAGAAGGGGAAGCAATTTGATTTCCCCTTTTCCGGGATCTGAAAGTGGCTCATCAACCGCCAATCAACATTGGGTGAATGTCTCGAATCAGTTTGATGTTTTGAATCAGGCGTATTTCCAATAACTATTTGCCAGATTTAAAGGGAATATACATCATTTGCTTTTGCTGTAATTTTCAGAAATGGATGGAATTGGAGGGTTGGAAATATAAAGCAAATATAGTTACACTGACTTTTTTGAGGTTTTGGGTTCGAAAATGCTATAAAAACCAAGAAAAACGATCATTTTCCTGTAGTCTGGTTCCCTGACTCCATATAAGAAGAAACAGAGCAGTTTACATACATTGGGGAATTGTAAGGTCAGGGAACCAGTCTAGCTGGCTCGTACCCGTTCATAGGTTTGTAATCGATTGCAAACAAGTGCAATGGTCAATTGGGGCCAGTATTTGAAAAAAAAGCCAGTTGTTTCCAACGCTGATCGGCCGATCAGCGTTGGAAATTGATACAAAAATACCACTTTTCTTGAAAATGACAGTATACCAGGTGCCATAATTTTACAGGATGCTTTAGACTGTCATTTACCAACATCCTGTTAAGGTATTTCCCAAAAACTTGATAGTTTTATTTTTCGATGTTTGCAAATGTTGTATATTCCCTTTAAAAAGAAACTATATGTCAGATGACAACAAAATGTCCTCAACTTCTCATTGCCAACCTTTGCATCTGGAGGTGAATATTGGAAGACTTTTTTTTCATGTTGGTTCCTCCGACGTCTGTGACAGACTTTTCTTACTACCCTGCTGTTGATATGGAACTGAAGACTGTTGGTTGTTGTTGGGTTGGGCTTTGTCGGTTTGTTGGCTACTGTTATGGAAATAATTGTCTATGTCGTTTCGTGCATCTTGGGCTGTTGTTTAACCAGCTTCAGAATTCTGATGCGTTTCTGCATTTGGCTGAGGCTCAATATTTCAGCTCTTTAATGCTTAAATACTCGCGAGAATCTCCCTGTGACAAATTTTTGGGTCAATAAAAGAGCAACGCAAAGTTGTTCAAGAATCTCCACGACAAAACAAACTGTTTCGTCCATTAAAGACTAAAAGGGCTTGAGTTCTGTATTCTTCCTTATCGGACTTGGTTCATATCCACTTTGCCGCTCTCGCTTACAACAAAGAAACCCTGCCCATATCTCTACTTGTGAAAGCTCCTAAGAACTACCTTGCTACTTTGCGCCGTAGATTCAGCCTTAGACTCAACCTTCAAAGAATGAAGAAAGCCAAGTCTTATTTAGTAAAACCTACTTCTAGACATTTCATTCTGTCGAATATGCACTTGTCAATCTCAGTTAAACAAATTGCCATGGTAACGTCGGGCCTAAAGGGAACTCTTTTTTAACCAGATTGACATCTAACAGAGAGCTGCCAAGATAGCTGGTAGGCATGACTGCCTGGTTGAAAAATGACGGTTGAAAAGTACCAGAAATGTCATATCAGTTCCAATATCCTTAAACAAAAACTGACATTGGTAATCACAATTTGCTTGAATGGTAAATCAACCAACGAACAATTTTGTAAAATTTTCACAGTATTAAATCATCACATTTATTCGTTGGTTTTGAGGGCCATTCGGAGCTTGTGCCAATACTTCCTCACACCTCATCGCAATCTCATGCGGGTGTACCTGGGCACTGTCAAATAGAGATTTTTTTTCTGTGAATATTGCAGTTCACGACACAGAACAATGAAAGGGTGCAAAGCAATCACATATACAATTTTCAAAAACTTCATCACCGTCCAAGATTTCACTTGAACATGCAAATGCCTTAGTTTTTATCATCAGGAAATGGCATTGGAGTCCCAGGTCCGGCATACACCGCGGCTCAAATAACGACTCCCGCTGCACCACCCATCGTATCTACTACCGACTCGGCCATACCGCTCACTGACCTCTTCCTCAGGCCAGTGAACTTTGTCAAGAGTCCAAATCCCTTCTTGGGGAGTTTCAAAGAAGCCAATCTTACATTCAATGTCTCCATGCGGCGAATGTCTAGGACTTGGAGATTTGGCATGATTTTCAGATTTGTCATGGTTTGTTCGAACTTCTCCTGGGTATTGTCTTGTATTCTTTGTTCTTTATCAAGCGCCGAAATATGAAAAGATTCAACAGAATGGAAGTATTTTAAGCTGTTGCTGAGGAATTCTATAAACTTCTCGGAAGGGGATCCATGCAGCAGGTACAATGTCTTCAATTTTCCCCAACCGTATTCGCCATCCTTCTTCATCATTTCCGTCTGAACTTCATCAAACCCATTCTCACCTACTCTGTACAGAGACAGTCTAAGATCCTGCAATTTTCTGCACTGACGTAGCAGTAAATTTGTAACTGCCACGAAAGCTTTGTCATCGAACATGATATTCAGACAGAGATCCAGCTTTTTCAAGCTTGGGAGTTTGTGAGCACTTTTTGCCAAGTCACAAATAGCGTCAGAACTCAGAATCGTCCCAACCAGAACCAAACTCTCAAGCATTTCCAGACGCGGAAGGTAGCGAGCCAAGTCTCTTGCTGCACCTGATGAGTAGCACTCCCCTGCCTGTGACTCTAATAACTCTTGTATGCTGAAAGACTGCAGAGCGTGGAAGACACTGATGTCTGACTCGTCAGGAGGAAACTGTGGCATGTCTCGGTTTCTGGATATTATTCTCTCATGCAGCTTTATGGGTACAGCCAGATCCTTGTTAGTATCAATTACATCATACGATGCAATAGCTTCATCTAATGACAAGTCGATAGATTTATTCTCATTGCCACAATCCTCATTTGTTGAGTCGCTTACAACTGGAGGTGAAGACTGAAGGACTTCCAGTTTTGGTTTATTTTCCACGTCGGTTTGTGGATCTGGGATTGTTGTTTGGTTAGCTTTGGAGTTTGGTTGCTTTTCTGCAATTGGCTGAGGCTCGTTTAAGCTGGAATTGACCTCCATGGCATCTCTTGTCAGTTTCTTGCCGCCTTTCTGTGTTGATGGAGCTCTTGCCTGTTTGATTCCAGTTGTAGATGGCTGAGTGTCTTCGGGTTTTGTTTTCAAAGCTTTCTTCTGTATCGTTTTCTCCACCTTCTTCTTCTTATTCTCAGGTTCCCCTTTCCCAGAACTAAAATATTCAATGTATTCTTGAAATTCTGACCAGTCATATCTACCAATCCGCAGCAATTCAACCGACTTAATGTTCAGCTTGCTCTCATCTACAGGCTGGGCATGTTCGATTAGGTATGACAACAGACGCAGTTTGTAACTCGATATCCCAATTAAGCGGACCCTTCCGTCAGTAAAGATCGATTTCAGCTTCTTGTTCAAGGCGCCCTCACACTGCCCCTCGAAATTTAGCTGGAGACACAACTCTATGAACTTCTGCACAGCATGGAGGGGCCTGACTTGACTGTATCCCCTGTTGATGATCTTCGCACAACAAGCAACAGGAGCTTCTCTGACAAACTGATTATCCTGAATAGCAAACTGGAATACATTTGAAAATCTCTGGAGAATCTCCCCGTGGCTAATCTTCGTGTCTTCTAACATTGTTTTCACTTGTCCTGTGGTCCGAGCGATAAACACAGCAACACATAGCTGCTCAATAATCTCCAACACAAAACAAACCTGTTCATCCTTAGGACTTGTCAGAGGGGTGAGCTCTGTGTCCTGTCCTATCGGAACTCGTTCAGCCACATTTTGTTGAGTTTGCTTCCGCTTACAACAAAGAAACCCTGTCCTTATCTCAACTTCTGATAAACCTGCCTTAGTATTTTGTTCCGTAGATTTAACCTTGGTCTCAACCTGTAATGGAAGAAGAATTCCGACTTGTTTTGCAACTTCCACGGCGTTTGTTCTCTTCTCTGACGAACTCAAGAAGTCGTAACTGTCAACGAGTCTTGAATAAGCCACTCTACCTATCTCTACCAGTACGTTTTGTTGTTCTTCCGTGAGCAGATTGAGTTGGTTTCCCTCAGTGACACCTACCTCTAGACCTTCGCTCCTGTCGAACATGCACTTGACCAATCTGAAAAACAAATTTGCCATGGTAATGTCAGGCTTGAAGGCATCTTCTTTCGTCCAGATTGACATTTGACAGAGAGCTACCAAGACAGCTGGGAGGCCTGAAATATCTGGTTGAAGAATGTCCTCTTCTAGATATCGATGAAGATTTCGTTTGTTGTTTGTTGTAGGTGTCTTATGTGGCTCTGTCTTCTCCGAAAATGTGTCTGCGACAGTGCTTTCCTCTGTTTCTGGAGCAGATGACACTGTTGGAGGCTCTTCTGTCCTGGGCAGATGCTTGGTGTTTGTGTCAGCAGTCCATCCTGATTTAGGTTCAGCTTTACTCTTGACTGCCTTGTGCTCACGGGTAGCTTTCTTTCTTTCTTCAGCAGCATCCAAAACTGCATTGATGTATTTGATAGCATTTCTGCGCGTAAAGCCGGTGATGGTGACATGGCGCATGTTATATCTTCGTGACGCAGCTTCTGCAAACTCTGAGTTTCTAGTCGTCAAAACTATTTGACAGGCAAGAAAATTATTGTCTCTCATTACTTTCATGACAGCGTCAATGTCGTCCTTGTCATTACAGTCATCAACCAAAATCGTCAGGTTGTTTTTATCTCGTGCGTAGTGTGCGTTAATGGATTCAGCCGAAATCTTTGCGTCTTTTGGAAGCATGTATTCAACGACTGCTTCACCGATGGTTTTAGCTTTAATAAGCAACCAAGCTGGGACAAGAACAACTATCTGATCTCTACCCCATAATGCACGTTCCCTTCCCATGGCCCAGTCGCATATCAGTCTGTACAAAAAAGTAGTCTTACCACAACCCCGTCTACCTTGTATTATAGCATGCTTACTGGCCAATTCTGGAATACCATCATCAAAGATACCAGACTCTGAGTCTAATTGATACTTTACAGTGATTCCTAAGTAGGAGACATTGACGAACATCTCTAAGGGTTTGTAGACTGTATCTATTGATGCGAAGCAAGCATCGTCCCTATCAACCCATGGTGTAATTGGAATTCTGCCCAATTCGCTGTTCACAAACGCTTTTATCTTCTTGGCAAGTGTCCTCAAATGCCAAACTGACTCTGTAATAAAATGCAAAAACATTTAAAATCAATACATATTGGTCTGCCAGTTACATTGAACTTGAACTATAACCATGCAGTATTGTAAATCAATACACTGTACCTCTCTTATATTTCTTCGTGAAGATAAGATACAAAATTACCAGTTATCAATTCTTCACTTCACATTTTAAACAAAATTGAAGCAATGCGTCCCCAATGCTCATGTTCCCATGTTCGATTGCTACCAAACCTAGGTTGATTCTTGAGGGTGTCTCCAAGTACAGCCGTCTTCTTGATAAGCTAACTTTAAAATACATATAATTATAAGAACAAATCCCATCGGAATATTTTGGCAAGGATGTTAATAAACGAGTGAATGTGCATAATGTCCAGCTATTTCACAATTCGTTAAATAATTTCTCCCATAGACTTCTCTGATCGACTTTTTCAGTTGCCTACCTTTTTTATGTAGCCGTTTGTAGTCACCTCTCTCATTGTCTTCTCTGTGATGCGAAGATCGTCGACGCCGCTTCCAGATCAGGAAAACAACAATCCCAAAAACGATGACGAATAAAGGCACGCACACAGCGATGGCGACGATATAGGACGATTCAGGATCTAATGCATACAATAAATCAAAATACCAATAAAACAACACAAAAATAAAACATATATATTCTTATCAATGGAGCGGCATTGTGCCGATATTTCCAAGAATTGAATATTTTGTGATGGAAGCATGAAACTTCACAAAAAGATTAATCATGCCGTGAAAAACATTTTGAAATATGGCGGCATTTAATATTTGAGCTCTGCTGACCTATGAGAGGTCAATGACCGTAACATGCTCTTTTTATAACAATTGTTCTTCAAAACTTCACTTTCCTATGACTACAGTGTACGTCATAGGTTTTTGTATAATGAAAATAATAACCAGATGTGAAAACGATTCATATCTGACACCTAGTGACCATTGAAAGTTCAATGAGGTTTGTAGTCCCTATCAATAGTATCTTTATAAGGATTAGTATCAACAAAGCATATATTCATTATACGCAGAGATCCTCCACCAATGCGACTGTCAATAATTGCATCTACAATAAAGTTCGCGCTTCCTATATTTGGCAATATGATAATATTCAGAGCATTACTCATTAATATCAAACAGAAAATTACGATGCTTCTGATTGTTTTTTTCTTTATGGAACAAAGATCCCACTTTCAGAAATGGGTTATAAACAGGTGGCACTAACAAGCAAAAAAATCGTATCAATAGCTATAGATAAGGTTTACATATGTCATGAGCGCTTGAAGGTCACCACAAGGTTAAATATGAAATGTCATAATATGAACATTCTTTTCATAGCATGACACCTAACATTTAGACTTGGGGGGGGGGGGAGAAAAACAAGTTTTGATTTAAAAAGTAAATCTTCTAAATAACTATTTAGATAACGATAGTGTTAGTTATGATGTCATGTATTTTAGAGCGATTTCAGATTTCACCTCCCCCTGACATACCGACGTCGATATGGTGAGTCAGTAACTGGAATGACTGGACGGCCGCAGAATCAACTGAAGAATACTGGACGGCCTAAGTTATCATACCTACACTGAACAATTTGCTTTGGTTAATTTTACTCAAGAAAGGATGAAAACTGCAAGAACACCCAATTTAATTTGGTCCATGTATAACCACAACTTTTGATTGAATGCAGCAGGAATGCTAACCCAAACAATTGGTTATGTAACAAACCAATTTTGGGTAGCTGCAGTTTTCACCCCTTCCTGGGTAAAATTAACCCCGGCAATTTTCAGTGTAGGCATGCGCAATACCACTAAATTCAGTCTTCAGCGGCAACCAGACAACAGGAAACGTGGTTCTACGATGTAACGCCCAAGATGACATAAACTTACAGTATATGAACACCTCCACGTATGATCTGATCAGACTGTCATTCGCAGGGAAGACATGACACCAGTACCTTACTTCACCGTCTTGAAAACTGTCGTTAAGGAGCAGAGCGCCCTCCATTGATATGTCAAGGCAACCGTTGTCTCCCAGATCAGACATCTTCTTGGGACCATCTGGCAAATTCAGTGTGCCGATCACAGTGGTAAACTTTGCATCAGGGGCGCCAAAGGACCAGAACAAAGTTGCTTTGGTTGTCAAGGAGATGTCCGAGAGAGCCGGGCAGTGAAGAGAAAACCTAGTTTTAGGTTTAAAGGTCACGCTGTCACCTTCTGTAGCAATGCCGTCGTCCAATGGAAAGCGATCACCTGTAATGAAAGGAAATAATCAGGTAGGTTGAAATGATGCCTTGACAAAGAAAAAAAAAACCTTTCTAATAACATTGTTGTCATTACCAAATTGGGGTCTCAAATTTCAAACACTGCGTAAATCCAATCCTTGCACCTACCTATCACTCGGACTTCAACATCTGTCTGGTTTTCATCTCCCACAGCACATCGATACACTCCAGCATGGTCATCATCAACTGACTGAATCAATAAACCAAAGTCACTGGCGAGATCGAATTCAGGACTAGAATCGACGACACCAGTCGACAGGTTGTAGCTGAGCATCTGTCGATCTGGGTTGTCGAGCTTACTCCACTCCACCTCACAAGCTGTGCCATCAGGTGTCCAGCTCAGGCAAGGAAGTATCTGCTGCGGGTCGTTTCTCAAGTAGAAAGATCTTTCCGAGACCTTCAGTGCATCACTGGCTGATTCCAACTCATCTACATCAAAGAAAGAGTAAATGTAAAGCAACTGTTTGAAAACGGACAAAGGAAGAATTTCAAATCTGTAGTGAAAATTATTTTAGAAATGTTTTTGTTTATTTTATTTTTTTTTTTTTTGGTGGCAATAACTTTGACACCGAAGAAACACTAAGCCTTTCCGTGGATTATTTTTTTTTTTGCATTACCTGATATTTTGGTATAGGTGTCGCAATTTCTGAGAGTACCAGCTGATTGGAACACGTGACACCAGAATCTCTGTGTATCCTGCACGTCATTCAGGGAGTTGACTGTAAGTGAAGCGTCGCTTCCAATGCTGTAATCAGCGCCATGTTGGATCTGCAGGGTAACACCATCGGAGAAACGTGCACCAACGATCTGTGTATCGTTAGTGGCGCCCTCTCCCGTTGACCAATACACTACGTCTGGTGTCTGTAACGCGCACTCACACGGTAGCGTCTGTCTGCGTCCTCGATGGAAACTAGCTGTGGAAGATACCTGACTACTGCCTCCTGGAAAGGTATCGCCTGTGTTGAAGTTGACAGTTTGACATTACTGTGTCCTCGATGGGACTTGGACATACTGATAAGCCGTTGGGGTATACCTGGAATAAGTTCCTGGTAGTGCCAAGGGCGGATCCGGGGGGGGGGGGCCAAAGGGGGCCATGCCCCCCCCCCAAAAAAAAAAAAAAAAAAAAAAAAAAACCGAAACCATTTTTTAAATTTTTTTTTTCATGTGACATCGCAATAAATGCAGGCAATGAGTACACCACCATCTTTTCCTCAAAAACAACATTGGTTAAAGTGGTCAAAAATTGCCTCCGATCGCACCACATAGCATCTAGAATAAAAAAAAAATGGATTGTGAAATGGGTAGTGCTCATGGATATTCGTCCATTAATTTGATACATTCGGCAAAAAGCGAATATTAATTGAGAGATCGAATAAGACAATCTTTAACATCGCTCTTTTTCGCACATACCACCTCAAATCTAATCCGAATCCAATCACAAACTGTAGATAGGGGCCTTCCTTTCTTTTATGAAATATTTGCTAAACATGCCACAAAAAGCTTACCTATTACTCTGATGAAGATTTGGGCAGCACGGTCTTTTGTGTCTCGCGGTATGACTTGGCAGATATACCTTCCTTCATCACTAACCTCCACACCTTTAATAACGAGGCTGAAACCAGACGTCCCGAATCCGTACCTGTCGCTCTCAGGGTAGTCTTCCATAGGTTTGTGGGTTATTAAAGTTTGCTCAGGAGATGTAGGACTATCCTGCTTGTACCAAATGACCCGACTGATGGCCTCACCGGGACGGAAGGAAGGGCAGTGTACTTGGTGCCATAGGCCTCGTTGAACGTAGTTGATTGTACCAAAAGCACTGTGAGTACTGTTACCTGAAACCAAGTAACAAACGTACGGTTTACCACGGTATCCATATTGGACATCTAGTGTAATGGGTTTACACCAACATGTCCTTATGTATCGCCTAGAGCACAGAATCTGGCCGACACGTGTGCTTTATAAATATTTAATATTATTAATTAAATATCATTTGTGTCAAAGTTAAAAACCACTGTATGCCAAAACGATACTTAAAATTCTTAGTAATCTAACAGTTATTTCGTAAACGATTTACCATAGAAAAATATGGCTGTGTTTAAACGCGTCAATCCGTTTAGATCTGCTTCGTACATAATCCCATAAATTATTGCCTCTACAGGGTTTCAAATAATAACCTATTTTCTAAGAAAATAAGAATTAGCTTATAGTGTTTGATTTCGTGTAAATTATTTCATGTGCGCAAGTGGCCAGTATTTCGAATGTTCGCTAAACTAGACCGAGCGTGAAAGTATGTAATTTTGTGAGTGAATTTTGAATAGAATTTTTGCACTGACCATGGTCTGAAATTTGAAGAACAATACACACAATGTACCCTTATCACAAGATTCTCACCTGAGTTTGCCGGGCATATGTTGTGGGTTGCTGCATAAAGTCCAAGTGTTAACAGAAGAAGTGTTGTGTACGCAACCGACATGATGTGAAAAATTTTATCAAGGTTCCTACAGAAGAGAAAGAAATTGGAAAAAAAAATAAACGTCATGGATTATAAGTTTTGCTGCATTATTTTACGACATGCTGATGGTTGTTTATATAAAAATATACATAATATTAAAAGAAAAAACACAAAAAAATCAATCCAATACTAAGAGGGAAACGTAAACCACGCAAAAAAAAAATCCAACGAGAATACAACATAATTTCCAGGCAGCTTAAATTAAACTGTTTGATTATGGAAATGCCCTCCAAAAGCTGGTTAACAAACAAAAGAAAATACTATCACTAACATATAAATCTTCGCTATTTATAATGGCTAAAAAAAGCACCAAAGCTATCACACCTACATAAAAGAAGAAAATCACAGTCAAATCATAAAATCACAAATGGAATAAATGGAACGATAATTTTAAAAGGGGGTAAAATGAGTGGAAGCTAAGACACGGAAATTCAATTCAAAAGTTTAAGTTTATTTAACACAGACTGGTTGCAGATGAATTGGAATTTCAATACATTCAATGGGTTATAAGGCCCTCCCCGTCTCGGTTACCGTGAAGTTAACATCATGACAACTACTGCGGCAACAACTCCCGTTAATATTAATTATTAATGATCACGATGACGCTGCATGCTTTGTGATGCAGGCCCAGCTTACACAAATGCCTTACAAATGCCTTGGCATAATGAGGAATAACCCCCACCTTTGACTGTTCAAGTTATATACATGGAATAAAGAAAAAAATCAGTGGCTTTCCAACAATACAAAATTTCTGTAGTTTGATTTATCCTAAGTCCTAATGTATTTTACCTACTTCCAAGAAAGAAAAAAAAACAATTTTGAAAAACAAAAACAAGCTTTATCAGATCTCGGAAGCTGCGTGCCATCGAATTTGTGTTCATGCAGTCACGGGATTGCAAGGGCGGATCAAGAACACAATTTTTGGGGGTGGGGCCCAAAACAAATTTTGGTCCTACCAAAAGTGGGTTTAAAATATTACGGTGTGGGGTTTGGGGCCCGCTTAAGGTGGTGGTGTACTCATTGCCTGCCTTTATTGCGACGTCACATAAAAAAAAAATAGGGGTGGCCCTATTTGACCCCCCCCCCCGGAGTTTGGTCATGTTACATGTTCGGGCTGGGCTACTGATAGAAGTCTCCCGCCGGATTGTCAAAATCTAGAAGTCAAGACGCAGTATCATTTACATAATTAATCGCGGAAACTGTGCGAATATAATATACGCTTGTGTGCAAGTGGCTATTCCATAGACTAATTTATCAAAATATGGAGACATTCGCCATTTTGCGTCAGTAGATTACATATTTATAATTATATTTGCTAAAATATTAATCCCAAAAGCACATAGTTATTATAATAATAACTACTGGACCTTACCATCCCCATACTTCTTGTGAAAATTAAATTAACACCACCTTTTTTCTCGATAAAGTCGGCTCAGTGTTTCATATACTCCAAGTCGATATCCCACAGTTAGTCGTGTAAGGTGAATCTCCAACGAAGAAATCGAGGTGTTGTTTTTGGCATTTTAGTGCCACGGTATTGCGTACTCATCACACTACAGGGACTTTCCAGTTGAGTCCAGTGGTATGAGTATTACCATTACACTAATCCAACTTGAACTACAACCTCTGGCCTCCGGTATATATTCTATGCTACATTGCTGGCACAACGCATTGACGGGCTGAACAAAGTTCACTGTGTGAATCGGAATGCTAACAATTTGAATTATACTGAACCTTAAATGAAATCTAGTGGTGGCTTTTTGAAATTCAAATTGAGAATTGAGCTTGGCGATGTTCGGGGACGAAATTAAAGTATCGATATAGGGAATTCGTTTGATACAAGTGTTAAAATAACTGGGAAAACCTATACAAGGGAGCTAATAAAACTCTTAACACTTGGGGTTTCCTGTTTGTTTTTGTGTTCATATCTACAGGCATGAATATTTACTGATATCACTGTATTTCATTTTCAGAAACCCAATGTGTACATGGATGTAATATAAACAACACAAAGAAAATGGTTGCCGCATTGACGCACGGTTAAAATTATCACCAAAAATTATAATATGAAAAATAATATATTTTCATTCGCTTGTTCACACTGAAAGTAAAACTGTGCTCAAAGGGAAATTTTACTCGCAACACAGGCTGCTTTGTTTATGTTTAGAAATCCACACTCTCAGTATTTCATTTTCAAAGCCACAACTTAACATTTTCCCCAGCCTTTTGTGCGACATGGCGGTTTTATTCCTCTTGATATTCGCACTGACTTGTCTGCATGTTTCCACAGGTAAGCCCGTTATTTTTCGATTAAACAATATCAAAGTAAAGAAAGAGGAGAATAATGACTGGTGAGATGTGAATTGAAGGAAATTTAGATAATTTCGGCGGGAAGACTCCAATGATGCTCTGCCGTGTTCGCACAGATCCTAAAAACACGAGATTTTAATACAGCTATTGTTGATGCATCACTCCAGTTGATGCGTCAGTCCAGTAACCGACTTTTAGACGCACATAGCGCACAGGGCAAGCCGATGATTTGTTTCTTCCAATCGGTGGTGTACAATTTTAATACGGATCTAATAATTGTGAATATAATAATAAACAATAATGCGAAAGCTACTTAAAGCGCACGTATCCACTGTTTTTGGCGCTCAAAACGGTACATTGTAATTACCCTGCTCATTAAGGCCATTGAAAAATTCCAAAGACAATCTCAGCTCCCTGGAAGTGTACAGTTCGAAACTGCCATTTCAGCCCCCCCCCTATCAAAATCAATCAAACGCAATAACCGTCTCTTCCCTTTTCACTTTAATTCTCTGAAGCTGGAGCGGCCGAACTCAAGATCCCGGGAGGAAACCCACGATATGCCACCGTTGGATCCAAAATCACCTTCACGTGCGTCCTGTCTGGTGATTTCAGGAAATACTCCTCCCTCGAATTGTGTTTCAAAAACCAAACGGTGACTGGCTGTGACGACCAAAACTTGACCGACCCCATCATCAGGAATGATACCTACAAGGCTCGCAGTTTGACTATCGACCCCGTAACAGAGTCATCAGGGGGTCTCTACGAGTGCGCGGCGTTTAACGGTGTCTCACTGTATGATTACGCGACCGTGCAGCTCGTTATAACGGGTGAGTAGGCATATGTCAGAACGCTATCCAAGAATTTCTTTGTTTCAATTAACCAATTTCCAACACTATTATAACCTTCTCCAAACCATCGGGTTTTATTCCACCCTATGACTATATTTCCTCAAACACCCACCAAAGAAAAATTGTATTCGTTAACTATAGATTGTTGTTAAGACGCCAATCCACCCCTCAGAAAAGTTTATAAAAAACACGCCTCTATAGATTTTAAGGTCTTTTGTTTCCCTCCCAATTTGACAACTTTTCGGTTGAATGACGAGATACCTCGCTGCATCTGCTGGATCCCTCTACGGGAGATGTGCTGGACGATCCCGAGTATGGCCCCGTCTGCGTCCAGTCCAGCACCACGCGGCAATTCCAGTGCAGGATTCAAGACGCCAGTCCTGGGGTCTGGAGCTTCACATGGATGCTAGGCAATCAGACGATCGCTACTAAAAGCGAGGCACGGACCGGAGCTTGGCTGGTCAACGTGAGCAGCTGGCACATCGTGACAAACCCTGGCACCGAGCCTCAAGAAAGTAACCTAACGTGCGTTGCAACGAGCAGTGACCAGTCACTGAGCACCAGAGCGCTGATAACGTCTTGTGCAGGTGAGTATTGTACTTGTTTGCTGGTCACAGATGGCCAGCCTCCTCTTAATGTACCCAGCATCCATTTTAAAAAAAGGGCGGGACTCACCTTGCCCGCAGTGAAAACGGTTGTTCCCACACAAAAGCAGGAAAGTTCACAAAGACATAATTATATAGATTATAAGTGTTTTCCAAATTGGGAGCCACCACAAAAAGTACCATTTAGGGGGCATGGCAGCTATTTAAAAACAAGGGGTTAATTAATTTGCCCACCTTGGGAAGAATTGTGCTCATATTTTATGAACGAATAAAGCGTCGCAACGGGTAAGGGGTAGGGAATTTTGCAACCCCCCCCCCCACACACACACACCAGCAAAAGAATACAGATAAAGGAAAAATAAAGAAAGAATGGACTAAAAGTCAATATTTACTTCACATTTAACATATGAAGACTATTGAAATGGCCATAAAATGTGATTATAAATATTGTTTTAAACAGCGCCCCAAGCGTCATATGCACCCCCCCCCCGTAAAAAGGATTTCCTCGGCCCTTAAAATGTAAAACTGTTAAGAGCTTAGAGCTACCATTGTGTGCCGTGTATTTGCAATTATAAAATCACTCTAAAATTTAGATGTGCAGGACAATAATAGGTACATGTACTCATGTTGACGTATTTATGCTACTTTCTTCAATTTCAAACAAATTACTGCGTTAACGATGGGTTTCATATTTTTTTTAGCATGATTTATCTGAACGTTTAACAAAGTTCAGGTGTTTTCTTTGGTCGTTTAAGTTTGGGTATTCAGTGGCAAAATGTGCACCTCTTGCAACACATTACAGGTCAATTGTCTTAAAATATAACTAGCATCAGCCATGCGTAAAATATAACTAGCATCAGCAATGCCTTTCACAGGAAAATATAATAATAAACATTTTGAAAGAGAGGATATCTCTTTCGATATTGCCTCGGATTTATTATTTCTTTTCTGAAAATTGCCTGACTCGTCCACCTTTTATGACACACTGAAGAGAAAGCAAAACAGTTGATCCAACCCGAATAGTCGAAACTACATTTCATAAGCTTTACAGTTTGCGTTGCAATGGCAAAATTGTATCCACTCAATTTACCGTTTCTCTCATAATATAGGCTACATGTATATTCTGAATGAGTCCATCGTCGCATAATAAACCCGATTTGAAATTTTGAAAAAGTTCAGAAATGGGATTAGTTCCTTATCAGAAAGACGAAGCTTTATAACACATTATGATAAACTGAAAAAAAAAGGTTACGTTATCTTATATTTACGGAATGCTTATGATTCTGATGTCTGAACCAGTCAAACAGTCAAGTGGTTCATTTTACTTAGTCAAGTGTAATAACCACTTTTAAAGGTACCGGGTCAGAGTTGACCCAAATGCGGGTCATGACCTGATACTTTTTAGAGAGTTAGAATGACACTTTTTGAATGATAATGACACTTCTTTTGATTATTTTGATGCCCCAGAAACCTTGACAAAGGTGTCATTTGGATGGCAAATGTAATTTTTGACCCTGAAACGCATCGGAGCCAGTTTTACCCGGAATCCGAATTAAATCGGATCTGGGACATTTTTACTATGTCGGCAAAGAGATAGCTTGATTGTCCTTAAAATATTTAACTTCTCATGTAAACAAATGACCTGCTTGTTATCAGATAAAGAAGAAGCTGTCGTAAAAGATTCAGACGGAGTACTTACCGCAATAGTAACTGTGGTCAGTGTTCTTAGCGCATTGGTTGCCTTGGCAATCGTGATGTTCATCAAGTTTAGAAGGAACCGCAGGGCACAGCGTAGTGTGCAGATCAAACGTGACGTGCGATCGTCTTTCGAAATGGTGAGCATTTTCGTTTATTTGACTGATCTATTACAATTAATAAAATTGATATATAACGGGAAAAGGGAAAGAAAATGAAACGGAGGAAATAAAATGAAGAAGGAACCGAAAATCCATCTCTGATGAAATTTCATCATAAAGGTCACGCAAATAATATTAAACAGGTTTATTATTGATATGAGATTGGAAAATGAAAGTTGCATGGAGAAGATCAGTAGGGTAAGGCCAAAAATCATTGAGGGCATGTTAAAATTTAATTCGGAAAAAAAAAACCACATGACCTACTTTCTAAAAAGTTCGTAAATTCTGGAAGGAAACAATTCTTGTGTAAGGATTAAAAGTTGTCTTGCAAAAAAGCATGTAAATTGTTTAAAAAGTACGACTTGACTTGATTGTAATATTTGCTCAACTTCATTCCAACAACTGTTCAGAATGGCTTTATATCCAGTCAAAACGTGGAGAGCCTGGCTAGTTTGATCATGAAATTGATGGTAAAGTGGAGGGCTAAACATAACGCATACATGTGCAGTAAGTGTTTTGCGTCGCACACAAAATATTGTGTTTTTGTATCCTCTATTTTTTTCAAGGATGAAACTTTGGACCTGAATGTTTCAGTACAACCAGATCAGTCTGAGGTCACCAAGTCACCGGAAGTGAAATATGAGGACAGAATTACACCACAAGGCCCACACAAACACGAGGACAGAATTGCACCACAAGATCCACACAAATACGAGGACAGAATTGCACCACAGGTTGCACACCGATACGAAAAAAGGATTTCAGCACAAGATTCACATCAGAACGAGTGCAACATTTCACAGCAGGTTGAACACAAATACAAGAAAAGGATTTCACCGCAAGGTCCACACAAATACGAGTACAAACTTCCACAGCTGGTTGCACGCAAATATGAAGACACAATTTCACCGCAAGTAGACAAACACGAGAATGATGACAACAAACCAACACAAGAGGAAACACCAATGCTACCTGATAGTGATGATGATGAGGACAATCTACCTCATTGGGCTGAGGGGTGGAAGGTGCCTCGCAGCGACCTCGTCGTTGATGAGCAAGTCCTCGGCAGTGGGAGCTTCGGTGAGGTACGATCAGGAGTTGTGATGAAAAATGGAGAACTGACAAGGGCTGCCATCAAGATGCTCAAAGGTAACCTAACTACTCATCATGTGAGGTTATGATATACATTACACAGACCTACTGGCAACAGACCGAACCATTAAGCCCCGCCCAATGGTATTTTAACCCATCACAATCGTGTATTAATCCAACATGGGTACATGCGCATATGATGCGCACGGCTTGGAAGTAGTGGCATGGAATGCTGCTCTTAATGTGTTTCTTGTTTCTCCAACAGGCCATGCATCGACGAGTGAAAGAGATGATTTCATGGATGAACTCCACACAATGACCTCCATCGGCCATCATCCTAATGTTGTCTCGCTGCTGGGGGCATGTCGGTATCGAGGTATTTATGGGACAGACAAAAATACTTTTGAAACTGAAAGTCAGCGGTTTATAGTCCGCAATGTGATCAAGTCGAACGAAGTTGAAAGTGGTAATTCAGTCACGTTTTCCAAAATAAATGTCACGAACATTTCGATCATTCAAGCAATTCGAACTTTTCCGAGCTCAATCTGAATCTGCTGGGGTCATACAAAAACACAACACATGGTGTTTTAGCACCAGTAACAAGCGCCCACTTCAATCGTGGTCATCAACACGTTCGCCTCTCAAATGCAAACGATGTTATTTTAACTTGACCATGTGTACTGCACACGGTTAAGCATTTGAACCAACGGAGCCAGAAGTAAGGCTGCATCCGAATCAGCGGTCTAGAGCTAGGTCTAGGTCTGCGCCCATTGAAAATACGCGGGGACGCGCTGACAATAGACTTAGCCGTAGCTCTGGAAGCCCGTTTCGGACACGGCCTTAGTGCAGCTGGAGTGTTTAGCCAATGGGCGCCAGTGATTAGTGCTGTGGGCGCGTATATTAGCAACCACGAACCAGATTTAAGACTCCCGTTGTACTCACTTTGCATACATGTATATCGGTTCTGAACATCAGCATGATTGGTCAAACATTATGGGCGTAGTTCATAATGGATCGGTCTCTGCCCATTTTCAGCAGTTTAACACTAAATAGTCAAATGTATCGTTACTTACATTGACTGTGGAACACAGATTGCATTGGGAACTTTTCTTTTACTCAGAGGTGCTGTACGTAGCGTTGGAGTATCTTCCCCTCGGTGATCTGCGCAGCTACCTGCGGACGGCTCGCTCACAGTCAGACTCAGACGAGGGTGCCTTGTCTTCCGATCAGCTGGTCAAGTTTGCTCTGGATGTTGCCAAGGGAATGGAACATCTTTCTAAAGTGGGGGTAAGAAGCAGTCACATAATTGCACTTGTTCTTCAAATGTTGAATAAGAAAAAATCATTCTTTTCATATTTATATTGTAGGAGTCCCTGTTTGGATTTGACCTGAAATCCGAGTTCTGTTTGGATTAATACTATTCAAGGTTGAAAAAAAGGAAACTTTTTCTGGCAAAAATTCAGGGTCAGATTTAACCTGACACTCTCTTGGTTCAACACGATTCGTGGTCAAAATAGCAGTTGTGTAGTCACAAATGACACTGTTCTCGGTCAAATAAACAAAAGAGTAACACAAAAAAGCGTCGTATTGACCCAGAAAATTGCCAGTGCAATTGAACACAGCTGTGGGTCGAATCTCACCCGAAACTAGGTCAAAATTTGTGGATCACAGTGATCCACAGTGGATTCTAAGGTATTATAATTGTGTTTTTTTATCACAAAAGGTGATCCACCGAGATTTGGCTGCCAGGAACATCCTACTATCTGAAGGGCGAACTGCTAAGGTTTCAGACTTTGGACTGTCCAGAGGGGAGGATATCTACGTCCAAACATCAAAGGTAGTATAACGTGGTGCTTATAGCGCTTTATACCTCAGGTTTCAAAGCGCTTACGAGATAATGTTTAACTATACTCAAGACTCCTATAAACTCCCATATTCCAAGATCGTATTTCAATTTTCTAAAGGGTCCACGCATTGAAATTGTGTAGGGAACATCTTGTTCCTTCTCTTATATGCATGAAAACTATGTGACTTCCCTTTTTGGTAAATTGAATGGCCAAAAGTGCACTTCTTTAAACATTAAACATTTGCCGTGCTTTTACGGACAACACTGGGGGCGCTGTTGCTGTGATTTTATTTTAGGAAGACACTGTGTTTAGTTTAGAGTTTGTTTCTGCATTCAATTGGGGACGTAGAACAAAAGAGGACAATAGGGTCCCCAATTTCCCGAAGGTCCCCAATTTTGATCGCGTAAAAAAAACGTATGGGACGTCTTCCTAAAAAGTTAGAGTACAAACAAAACAAAGGGAAAATAGGGGGTCCCCGATTGCAGGCAAATACGCACTTGGGTGTGGGTTTGTGAGGGTGTGAACCCAAACATTTCCTCATGGAAAACATTAATTAAGAGAAAGTTTGCTCGTTGGCTTACTACCATCATCGCCATGTGCTGTTAGTGAATCACCAAAGAAAAGAACATTTTACAAGAGCAAAATATCCCTAATTCTGTCAACTTGAGGTGCTGAAATCTGTAATCTCCCGAATTCTGCCTGAAATGTGATTACACGTTTGTCCATGAATATATAAATTGGCATTAACGTAAAACCAACATCAAAATAACGCTTTTGGGCTCAAACTGACACTTCTTTGTAATGGTTTGTAACTGTGACCCGGAAAGTTGTATCTAGCCGAAAAGGTGTCATTCTGACTCGGGAACTTATAAGGTCAAATATGACACTGATTCCGGGTAAAACTTACCCGGGACTTTTTACAGTTTAGTTTGAATCTTTGTTCCTTTGCATTTGATTATAGAGACGAGTTCCAGTCCGCTGGTTGGCTATTGAGTCAATCAGGTATAAGAGGTACACGACAAAGAGTGATGTGTAAGTACAAATAACCTTGTTTATCGTTTGAGTATTTAATGCGTGAAGCCAGGCCAAAACCTGGAACATTAAATTTATTTTCGAAATATTGGGCCCTATACTAAATTAAAGAATCCGTGACTTTATTTTTCTCATCGTCAGGTGGTCTTTTGGCATTCTCTTGTGGGAAATAGTCACAGTTGGTAAGAAATATTCTGCTTAAAAATATATTGCCTTTGTTTAGCTAAAATTAAAAAAAAATCTGTTAAGATATTTTCATACCGTTTATTTCCATCAAGATTTTTGGAAGTGGTGTAAAAACCAAACAATTGGTCCTTTCCCTTTCTCCCGCTGTATCTAATTTATATTAAACGTACATTGTGAAGGGGGAACCCCCTACCCGACCACCAAGTGCGAGTCACTAGCCAGGAAGCTGAAGGGAGGATACCGAATGCCCAAGCCCAGCAACTGTGACGACAAAAGGTAAGATGTCAACAGTTAGTTGCATAGTTTATCAGCAGGTAGTTTGCATTCCAAAATGTACAATTATTGCTTGAAAACTGCCTGCTGAAACGTTGTCTTAGAGGTGCATTAATTTGATTAGGAGAGTATAGGCACTTCAGTGTGTCAACATTCATGCTGACTCGTGCGGCAAACTTGACAGAGGTCAAACAATGTCCTGTATGTGGCATGCCTTTTTTGCCAAAGCCGAGCCCCTTTTGATGAGTAGAAGCATTCATTTATATCATGTTGGCATAGGCTTACTTAAATAGTCTGGGAGCCTTTTCAAAAGGTATAGTCTTGTGGACAAAGAGAGATGCAGCCGTTTTAAGCAATGGACGAGCCTCTATAAATACCACTGCATGCGTTTCTAGTTTATGTTTCAAATATGTTATTATTCAAAACTATTCATCCAGTTGATTTATGCCTATGCAAGTGTTAATAGGAGGATCCGAACAACAGACCAATCTTCACACGGTTTTCTTTGTTTTCTTTCTCGTTTTAGTTACGTCCTGATGCGTAAGTGCTGGGAAGAGGATCCGAACAACAGACCAAGTTTCTCTGAACTAGTCTCTACCCTAAGTAACACAGATGACAGTAAAATTCAACATGTAAGTATAAAAACAATTTATCCTGGCACCCGGCATCCTCTCAGATATTTTAGCTGGAGGAAAATAAGCACAAATTGTTGCTTTTGTTCAGACACGCACATTGCTTGTAATATCACAATTTTCTTGGAAGCAATCTTGAATTACTATAAAGTAATGCTTAAATCCGACTTAAATTATAAATTTGCAGATTTATAATATGTCAAATATAAAAGTCTTAGCTACGAGGATAGTTACGAAATCTTATAAAGGAACATGTGCATTTCGTTTCGTTTCGTTACTTTTCAGACCTATTTTTCGTTTGGCCGAGTACATTACGAGAATTTGAGTGCCATCCGGCCCGAATTTGATGACAACTGAGCAATATACATCAGCGTTTTTTCAACTGCGTCAACCGTTTGCCCGTGGCCCCATGTTGTGTGTACAAACAGACGAGTAATATGCAATAATGGAGTGTTGTTATGTAAGCGATAACCGTATTACAGCGTGTGCAATTAAAATAATCGGTATAATGCATGGTATTTTAAATAAGCACATCATACCCGGTCTTACCACGGGGCATTTTACTGTATTATTATAAACGGATCTAGCTACACGTTAACGAACCTTAGTTTGTGATTTGAGAATGCTATTATTATTGAAAATGGTTATATTGAACTTGGACTTTGTCACTTATATATTTCGTCTCTTATCATTTCTCCGTTTGCTTGTTTGTTACTTTCTGACCCCGTCGTAAAAAAAAGGTAATCGTGGTGAGCAACATTATGGCCCACCATTTTATACAGCAACACCTACAACATACCTCCCGTTTGTCGCAATTTCACAGCAATATCGCATTTCTTCAGACTGCGTATAACTCACCATATTGGAAAACGACGTTTCTTTGCCTTTGTTTTAAGATAATTGGTACTCAGTCGATATTTCAGAGAGCCACGTGAGGTATCAATGGACAGCTATAACGATTTATTCTTTAATATTCTTTAATATATGATTAATTATTTTTCTCATACAGCCCATTAAATAGGGAACACCTGATTTGATACACCCTGTATAAAGACACATTGTTAATGTAATTTTTTACAGGTCTGTCTGTCTGTCACTTGGCTTCTTTTTGTTGAATTTGTCGGTTTATTGGCTTTGATTTCGTCTTGGTATTTCTAATAAGCAGGTTTTCCTTGTTTAATACACTCCTAATACACAACTAAATGTACAATAGTTTTGATTAAAAAAAAAGTAAATGTAATGTTATACATGTAGTAATAGCCATTTAATTAACAGCAGAATAATATTTAGTTCACCTTAATAATTGAGAAAACAAATTACAGATGTTAAGCTTTTGGCAAAAAAAATATATTGAGGTATGCTTATGCGTTATCTAAATAATAAAGAAAATGGTATTGTACAGGTTTAAACCTTAATAACATTCAGACAAGCAGCGCTAGTTGAAACTTGCCGGTTGATTGCTGTACATGTCTTGCTTAGTATAGATCGTGAAATAGAAGTCTCTTAGTACTTCTGAAGTGTACTTGTCTGCTGTTTTAGAGCAATTATGTGACATTTAGTTGTTTTGATTGCATTGATTGCTTTTTTGTTTTATTTGTGGAGCAGGTACGCCTTGCTATTATGACAGTAAAGGTACTACGATCTTGTCGTTAAGTCCAGTGCGCTTTATTATAATAAAATACAATTGTGATAGATATTAAGAGCTGATCAATAATTATTGCGTTTTTGTTCCAAATAAAAGGAGGAAAATCCCATGTGACGTTACTTTAACAAACCCGTTCTGTGAATCTCTTGTCAATTTGAAAGAGGGTCCTTTTTGTAATGGAACATGCCTGAAACGGGACTATTGTAGAAGAGGAGTCTGCATTCGGCATGGTTTAAAAAAATATATATATATTTTCTAGAAATAAAATCGAAATTGCCTTCGCCGGCCAAATTACGATTTGCATGCCCTCAAATTCTCCGGTATTAGGGAATCTTGAGGGCCGTGAACTTGACAATTAAAAGGAAAATGGTGGACACCCTGCAGAGGACTGCGCGCTCGTATTAGGGCGAAATGTGGATGAAATAAGGCCCTAAAGTTGCTCTTTTTTTGCAATGGAGCGTAGTTGTCCGTTTTCAAAATGGCGATGGACTTCAGGCCTGCTTAAAGGGATGATCATCTTTGGATGGATTTTTTTTTCCAAAAAGTCGTTAGATAACACCCCCAGCCCCCCCCCCCCCACCCCCACCCCGACCAAAAATAACTGAACGCAAAACGAAAGATGATTAGATAAGCTTTAATTTGATGTGTGTCTCAAACACATTGGAGATTGTGTGATTATTTTTAATAATCTTAGGAAGTGGGCGTAAATATCACTGAGGTATGGCAGTCTATTTACTGGTCTGGAACTTTTTCTACACGAGGTGAAGACAACATGGCTGCGCCCATTGGATACAGTGTTAGATCACAAGAGGGCGCTGTAACCATTTGACGACGAGGTAAATATTACGTGATGTAATTCATGGAAGAAACTTCGGTGTTAGCTGTTTCAACATCAAAAGTATAGTAACGAAAAAATTAAACAGAGAAATTGACTGCAGCGGGGTTTGGGCCTAGCGACCTCCGAAGCACCGAACCGAAATTGGACTCTATAAGAAATTCAGACTCCTTGGTTGTATAGTGCATGCTGCGAAGTGAATAAAATAGTGTCAAGCGGAAAACACAAAAGAGGAATAAAAGAAATGGGAAATTGTTTAAAAATTGCAGCCAGCACGACGGTGAAAAACAAAGAGAGATTAAGAGATTCAGAATTGCATTGGGGAACGGAAAGGATCAGCTCGTGGCTGATAGTCTCATGGTTGGACGGCCCTGGTTAGAGCTGAACTGAAGAAAATTATCCAGAGTTGTATCAAAATGACCAGCTTTGCATTTAAAAAGTACACAAGGCACTGGATTTCCCTTCTAAGCGAATTTCTCTTCTGAGAGACAATGAACAAGGGCTGAAATTTGACGGAAAATAATGATGACGCGCAGATGCAGCTGCCTGGTGAGTGCGTTGTGAATTTAGAACTATAAAAATACAACATGGTTTGAAGGGAAGTAGTGGGAAAGACTGGTCCCAAGGTGTAGGTTCGCGTCGGGAGGTAGTCAAGCTGACCTACACCGAGGGACCAGAAATTCCAACTTATTTCCAGAAATAAACCATGTTGTATTTGTTTTACTACACCTCATCAATAGTTAATAGCCTCACCGCCTTTTCGATAACGGCCTTAGTAGATTTTGCATCTTTATTTAACACGAAGTTCTTCGTCAGTCAATGAAATAGTCTGGTGCCAACAAGTTTTAATGTGTCTTTACTGCATTAGTTACCATGCAACAACAAATTGGTTCCGTAAAGATTACATGCCACAGACTACATGTCTACGAGGCGGGATCCAGATGGAATTGTTGGTGCTTCCAGAAAAAAAAAACCGCACGGCAGCGAGTTTGAGAACGTTACCTGGGCACGTATCATTTTTAATTCCCGGACGCGCGGCAGAATCTGCCAATGATGTGTTTCAATTTCATCATGGATATTTATGAAGTGTAGTAATATGAAATACTGACTCACTGGTGGGATTGAGCATGCCTACGTGAGGATAGTGAAAATGTAACCAATAAAACGGTAAAAGATATTAGAGTTCATAGGAGTCCAAATTCCATGTGACACTGGAAAATTGTTTAAGACCAGCCAGCCATGTCTTTATCATCTGTTTAAGACCGGCCACGTGACGGTTTCACCAATGGAATGGGTAAACTGTCTTTGTTTTTTATAAATTATATATCAATCCTTATTAGGCCTACTGTCATTTAATTGTGGAATTGTGTTTCCTGTGGAATCTGTTTTGTTTCTTTAAAATGTACTCAATATTGACTAATCGTTGTCGAAAAAGCAAGTCAGACAGAACATTTAATTGTATTTTCACAGTGATTTTTCAGGTTGCTTTTGGCATTAATGCAAAATGATTCAATGTGGACGTTGTCATTCTTTATCAATTGTCTGGCTACAGACATTGCACGGGAAGCACAGGTCTGAATATGACCTGGTGTGTTTCAGAGTTCAAAGTGCCCCTGTTTATCCCCGCCCCGCCCCGCCCCGCCCTATGAATCCGGTCACCATGGATGCTTTTTTGATGCAGTGCCTGGCCCAGCTTACCCAAATACACCACCTGCACCAGCATAATGAGAACTGGATCCGCCCTTGAAGGCTGGATAGATAATGATATATAGGCTTAATTTTGCACACTTCCATAACAGAAGTCCATACCGTGGCTCTGTCCACATGAATGTCTGATGCAGACTAGCCTGAAGTCAGATATATTGGGGAAATCATGTCATAATCGCTCTTGTTGTTTATTTGAGAAGCCTGGGTATCCAATATATTTGTTGAAAATAAATAACAGCAAAAATGGAAAACTAAGGAGCGTTTTTACTTCCCTTATCGGCGGAATGCAATTTTGTTTTCAAAACCGTGTCCCCCCTCCCCCCCCGGCAAGATTCGGTCGACAAAATTCGGCGGGACGTACTGTGGAAGTTCCTGCGGCTAAAAAATAAATGAATGCATGAAGCTAAAGAAAGAAACTTGGTACCATTAAGAAGCCAATCATTTTTACTTTAATGTAATATGTAAAATAAAATGAGGATCAGACATTCACGTGAACAGGGCCACGGTATGAACTTTCAACAATCAGAGTCAACTTTAGAAACTGTGATGTATTTTCGATCAGAAACGGAGACTACGTTGTTATTAAATTGATCAATTTGGATGCCAAGTTCCGATGCATTACAACGAGTTACGGAATACCCGATAGAAAATGTTGTGATAAAACGCATGACTGGTACAAGTCTACTAATATATGGGCACACTATCCTTTGATACGTATGCAACGTATGTACTGTGTTCCATTCGGTTTAACCTCCCGGCAATTCGGTCTGATGATGTCAATAAATAACACCGTGTTTAAGCTTAATTTTTTTTCTCTCCAGCCTTCATAAGGGCGGATCCAGAACACATATTTTTTTTCTTGTGGGGGGGGGGGAGGGCGGGGGGAGGAACAAAAACAAATTTGGTCACCCACAACGTGGGTCCCAAAAACTACGGCGTTGGGTTAGGGGCCAGCTTAAGGGCCCAAGAAAAATTGTTGGATTGTGGATGCTCTGTGATGCGATCTGAGGCGATTTCTGACCACTTTAACCAAATCTTTTTGAAGAAAATATTGTGGTGTACCCAGTGCCTGCTTTTATTGCGACGTCACTTAAAACAAAACATGGGGCCGTTTTTTTTTTTTTTTTTTTTTTTTGGGGGGGGGGGCATGGCCCCCGTTGCCCCCCCCCCCCCCCGATCTGCCCCATTGCCAGCCTTGTCAGTAATATAACAGAAGACACCCACTGAATGGCCAGAATCTGGATAGCAAGACTTGTTTTGCATAATAGGCTATTTTCAGGCGTCGATTAGGCCTACTCAAATGAACGTTTTGGGGACATTTGTCATTTTGCCTCAGTAGGTCACATAATGATTAGGCCTATTGCTAGAATGCTAATTCCACCCGCGCATAATTATGATAATATGTAACAAGTTAGATTACTGGAACTCACCATGTGTTTTGTGAAAACTAACACCACCTGCGGTTCGTTATGTTCGGCTCCGTGTTTCATATATTACTCCCAGTCGATTATCGCGCATTTAGTCGGGTAAGATAAATCTCCAACGAAGAAATCGTTGTGATATTGTAGATTTCTTGTTGCCGTGGTATTGCGTGTTCCTCGCACGGAGACTTTCCACGTAGTCCCGACATAGGCCTATGCATGACTATTATCATAACATATTATTTGCACAAGCGTATTCCAACTTGAACTACAACCTCGTCTATAAATTATAGACAATTGTTGCCATAGAGTTCAAAGGCTGAATAAAGTTCAAAGTCAATGCACAGTGCATGCCAGACAGTGTCAGTCTAATATTCCCCTGCAGGGAATAATGGGCCTAAAGACGAGTCGAAATGATTAATTTGGAAAAATGTCAACTCCCATTCTAACTCTAGCAACACCGTCAGCACTGCCGATGTCTGCCTTAATTCAAACCAAGCATTTAGTTCTGGGTTGCTTTGAGCGCAGAAAGGTTCACCCTGCTGGAACCTAATCATTATAAGTATAACATATTATTAGTTTATACTAATTAACAGTAGTTTATTTTAAAACTAAACATGGATGTATTTTTTCCTCGTTGTCTATAAGACAATAGCATATGTTTTGTTTGATACAACCGAAAATGGTAAAATCAGAACATATTTTGTGGGATTAAGATGTCTTTACAACAAGCAAACGGTGACTAGCTGCGGTGACAATCAAAACTTGACCGACATCATGGGGAATGATACCTATAAGGCTTGCAGTTTGACCATCGATCCCGTAACAGAGTCATCAGGAGGTCTTTACGAGTGCAGTGCACACTCCCTCGATATAGCGGCGACCACCGTGCAGCTCGTTATAAATGGTGAGTCTGTGTTGTACAGAACGCTATCTTGTTATTTTGTTTTATTTCCATAAACCAATTTCCCATTTTTTTTACATTCCCCAAACCGTACAGTTTCCTTCGTACCCTCGAACTCTCTTTTTATCCTCCAAACTACGTGTCAAAAAATCATCATCAGGCTACATTTCATCCAGTCTGTCAATGTTTAAGTCCACCTGCTGTCTTGAATTCTTGCTACATGTTCTGCCGGCCTCCATTTTATCTATTTGACCTTCTATAACATCAATAATATCCGTGAGATTTTGTTTTATTTCTTATTTCCCCATGATTGACCTTATTGTAATGTTACATGCAGCAAATTCCTTTCAATAGCCCGCTGTGTTGCGATCAGCTTTTGATTTAAGTATTTAGTGGCAGACCATATTTCTGCTCCATAAGTAACTGTTGTTAGAATCATAGCATGCATAGAGGAAGAGTACTGCTCCGTATGTTTCAAAGAACTCCAGGAGCAGTAGCCTATACTCCGCCGGCGCAATGCTTGATCACCACCAGCTGGAGTCCATTGTTGGTTGTAAACTCTAGTGTTTTACAGCTCCGGAAAAGAGCTCCGGAAATATGCTCTAAATATACTGCTCAAGTGGATTCTTTTGTTCAGATATTCGGGAAGGGTTTGGCCATACGCCAGTGCGAGTTAAATGTTATACTTTGTATAAAAGTTGTATACTCTGTTGTAGTTTGTCTAGAAGGGACAGACGACAGTCTGAGTTCAGTGAGTGAGAATAGAGAAGTTTGCTGATCCCCATGATAAATCAGTGTGTGTAACAATTCAGTTTGTGTTGTTATATAAGTTGTTCTGAAGAAAGTTGTGTACAGTTGAATACAAGGTGTGTGCAGCCAAATTTAAGTTGTACTGAAACTAAGCATTTGTTGTCAAGTCTAATTTGTTTTGACGTTTGGCGACAGATTGGAAAAGAACCTGATGAAGACTGCACTATTTAGTTTTGTCCTTGTGCATCGTTAAACAAGCTTATTTACTTCCTCTTTTTATCTGTTCAGCTGGTCGGGGTTCCTTCCATAACTTTCACTGATGTTGACACTCTGGATACATCATCTGGCATTTTTGGTAAGTCAAGTTTTCTCCGTTATACAATGTCCAACCTCACTTCCTGAACACTTAGTACTCCTTAAGGGCTGTTGTGCAAATATTTTGCCAGAATGGCCTAATCCAACTCCCCACTCCACTCTCAGACATATTCTGCATCAATTCCCACTCGTCAAACACAGATTTAGCGGATACGCATGTGATCTCTATTCTGGTTTATTGCTTTCAAGTGGTTTGCTGTTAAAAACACTGCTCCAAAGCCTGTCTGCTCTCTTGGTTAGTGTCCAAGGTTGCCATAAGTTAATTTTGTTTTGATACAAAATTACGCGGGTGAGTATTTAATACCTATGTGAAAGAAGGCTGATTGGACAATTATTCTTTATTTCAGCTTCGTCTTCCTTTTTGTGGAGCAGTTTGATTTTCTTTCCGTCTACTCCTTTTGAATCCGTAACTGGTTAAATAATGTTGTTAGCCGTGAAGTTCCTTTCTGCCCTCCCATCTTGATTAATCTTCTTCAGATTTGTGGTTCTTTTTCCCCCCTCCTTTTAATGCAGCTTTATTCCACCATAACCGTTGTCAGAAAGTCGCATCTTCTGTCAATGTCCAAATATACCTATGTAGAAATTCTAAATATATATTCATTCATTAACAATACATTTATGTCAAGACTCCAAGCCACTCCTCAGAAAAAGAACAAAACTGGGAATCACTTTCATTCATTTTGAGGTATGTTGTTTTGTCTGTGTGTTTTTATTTCATTTGATCACCCTTCGATGATCCCTCCACGAATTGACAACTCTTCTGTTGAAGGACGAGATGCCACGCTGAATCTGCTGGATCTCTCCACCGGAGCTGTGCTTGACGATCCCGAGTATTGCCCCGTCTGCGTCCAGTCTGACACCACGCGGCAATTCCAGTGCAGGATTCAAGACGCCAAACCTGGGATCTGGAACTTCACGTGGATGTTTGGCAATCAGACGATCGCTACTAAAACCGAGGCGCGGACCGGAGCTGGGCTGGTCAACGTGAGCAGCTCGCACATCGTGGGAAACCCTGGCAACGAGACTCGAGAACGTAACCTAACGTGCCATGCAACGAGCAGTGATCAGTCACTTGATGCCACAGTGCTGATAACATTTTGCGCAGGTAAGCAAAACTTTACGTTTTTTTCTGGTACCAGAGGGCCATTTGTGCCTATATTTGCACCTATGTATCTCACTGACTAACTGACTGCTCTGACCATATCATACTTGTGGGGTGATGTTCCTTTCAGAACACATCACCCCAGAAGAGGATCTTTAGAAAAAGGGATAAAAGGAACACAGCGCTATCACCAGACAAATCTGTCTGGCTGGGATGTCTGCCATCTGACTGACACTGACTGACTGACTGACTGATTCATTGACTGTGATTTTGGGCAGTGCTATCGTATAGGATTAGCCTGTAACACCAATATATGACCCGAAATCTGGTCCTTAATCAATTTAATACAAGTGGGTGGGGCGCTATGGTCCAGTGGTTACGGTGTTCGACTCGTGTGCCGTGGTGCATGATTTCGAATCCTGACCGTGGGAACATGGTGCTTGTGCTCTTGAGCAAGGCACTTTACCATTATTGCTTCGTCCTTCGGATGGGACGTACAGCCGTAGGTAACACTTATCGCTAAGAGAAGGGGTTTGTCCCGGTGCTTCTGGCAGTGGCTGCAGTGTGCACCGCAGCACCTTGTAAACCATTATAAGGTGCTACATAATGGGTCTCATATTTCTCATGAACGTTATTTACCTTTCTTTAATAATTGACATAATTTCCAGCGCCTTGAGTACCTAATTGTTGGTATATACGTGCGCTATATAAGACTCAGTTATGTATTTATTTATCTATTTATAATTCAAGCTTATGTGCTTTGGGACCAGCTTTATTATTTGCTCACATTGTCATGATCATGAAGTTTAAGCACCTCCCATCAGTCAAGATATTACATTGTTATTGCCAAATTAAGTTTAGCATCAACCTTTCCGAATGTCATTTTGACAAAGCAAAAGTTCGTAAGAGCATGACCACTTTTCATTACTGGCATTCTTTCAATAACCCACAGTGCTATTTTTATTTTTTTTTCCAGTTGTTTTTGAAAGAAAAAACTCTGAGTTCTAATCTGATACAAAAAACATCAGAATTCACTCACCCCTTTTGTTTTAAAGGCAAATGTTTTAGGGTTGCTTGTTTGGGTCACCCTGTATATATTGTCTCCAGCTTTTGCGATCGTCTTCGTTTCCCATAACTTTCAGTTCAATATATTAATGTTCAAGGTTTGCCTCCTGTTGTATTTAAAATGGTTGGGGAAAGAATGTATTTTCTTTGTGTCTGACAGAGTCTGAGTACGCGAAGACAGTGCTGCGAGTTCTCGTGAGTATTTGCGTGACTGCGACGATTGCTACGATCATTACGCACATTCTCCTCTGCAAGTATTATGGATACATCTGAAGGGAACACCGTGAGTTTAATAGAGGGGGCGGGGCTTTTGGGGAAGTGGGCATTACTTTTCGTAGTATACAAATCCTTTTGTGAGTTTTCTGTCAAATAATATACGTAATTATTTTCACCTTTGTAGTAACCGGCAGTGCAAAACATGTCTTTGGAATATCATGACGTCTTCTGACTGAAATTGGCTATTTTGTATTTCCTTATGGCTGATTTTGTGCAAATATATGCAAATTAAATGTGCACTATTTTTTTTTTTTGCGTGTATGTGTGTGTGAAACTAAAACTATATGCTTGGACCCTACAGCTTTTTATATTAGGGCTTTGTTTACAACGCGAAATGACTCACCTGCAATTTTATTTGTTTTCCAATTGAATATGTTTAATAAAGAGGCTGCTTGCACTGTGTATTATCTTTTACTTAAGTTCCTACACGATAATTTATTTGTCATGCTTGTATTTTATCCGTCCTTTAAGCTTAAAAGGGCTGGAACGGAATCCCCCCAGTTTGTTTTTCTCTGGGATACCCCCTCCCGAGCTTTCCTGACTTTTTAGCCTCGAGTCTTGCGCATCGTTTAATACCAAAAACAAATAACATAACAAAAACAAAATTATGAGTAACCGAGCAGCGCAAACAAAATATTCACGCCGTGAAAACTGAATTTTCCTATAATGTATTGTACACAAAGCAACATCATCATTGGTGTGTATGAATAATGAATAAGCTGTTTACCATTTGACCTATAGTCATGACATTTCTAGGGTATGTTTATGAAAGGTTGGTCCACGCATGCACCAAGTTTCATACTTTTTTTACACTCAGTGACCCAGACCATCCTCTCCCCCGGCTGTGAGGTCAAAATAACCCGGCCAATTTAAGGTTAATATTGTTAATATTTTTGTAAGCGACAATAGTTTACCACGAGCATCAAAAGTTCATTTTATAAACGATATAATCATGAGAAGCATGAAACACTTTTTGGTGACAAGCTGTAAAATGTACCGGACAGAAACGAAAAAGACTGCATAGCAAATCTAAGAAATAATCCAGAGTAATATCAGTTGGTAATGAAGGTGGAACGTGATGCAACATGCAGAGTAGAGCATGCTGGAGGTCCGGACGGTGTTCCAACGAGAGTGATTCGTCAGTTCTCTTATGAATTGGCAACACCCCTTGCACACATTATTAACTCTTCGCTGCAACAAAATGTCGTACCGAATGAGTGGAAACATGCGATTGTTATACCTGTTCCCAAAGCATACCCCCAACTATAGAAAAGTTGCGCCCGGTATCACTTTCGGATCACTTCGCGAAAATAGCGGAAGGGTTCGAGGCGAAGTGGGTGTTACGTGACATAGAACCTCGATTGGACCCCAACCAGTTTGGCAACCGGAAAAACTTGTCGACTTCACACTGCATAATAAACATTCTACACAATGTATTTCTGAATGCAGAGAAGTCTAAATCTACATCAACTCTGCTTGTCACAGATTTCTCGAAGGCATTCGACCGCATAGACCACTCCATTGCTGTTTCAAAGTTATTGAAATTAGGAGTGCGAGAAAGTCTGATCCCATGGATAACGAACTTCCTTGTATCGCGGCAACAACGTGTAAGGTATAGATCGCATTATGTCCAACTGGTCTGTGCTACATGCTGGAGTACTGCAGGGAACACGCCTGGGCCCTATTATTTTTCTCACAATGCTAAACGATGCATGTGCACTAGACGGTATCAATGCCTATAAATACGTTGATGACATGACGGTGATTGAATGGAAGATGCGGTTACACATATTGTAAAGTGGTCGAGTGACAATAACATGAAAGTGAATCCTGCCAAATGTTGTGTAATGCAAATTAATTTCTCACGGAATCTTGCAGTAATGAATGAAATTAGCATTAATGGCCATTCGTTGCAGTGTGTTAATGTACTTAAATTACTCGGCATTCTAATTCAAAATGAACTGAAATGGGAATCACACGTAGCTGATCTTGTTAAGAGAGCAAATAGAAAATTACATATGCTACGTGTCCTCAAACGACATCGTCTGCCCGACAATGACTTGTTGACAGTGTACTGTTCTTATATTCGCCCCATCTTGGAATATGGGGCTCCAGTCTGGAGTAGTGGTCTCACCAACAAGCTGTGCTTAGCTCTTGAGTCAATCCAAAAACGAGCTTTTCGAATTATTCTTGGCAGACGTTTTATACGTTAGGAGAACTCAAACAATGTGCTAGGTATGGAAAACTTAGAAGAAAGGCGAGTATCATTGTGTACTTCATTCATGCAAAAGACAATAACCCATTCAAAACAGTTTCAGAATTTTCTGCGGAAAACACAAGACAGTTAAGACATACTAAAACAATTCCAGAGCCTCGCCGTAGAACAACAAGAATGAGAAACAGCCCAATAACATCTTTAATAAGACTTTATAATACGAAGTAATATATATCTCTATTGAGAAGCAACAGCGTATTAATTGACCAGTCTCAGTCTCTTGTATCTCACTGTATAACTTTTACATTTTTAATGCATATGTCACGTTCCAACACAACTCTTTTACCTTTTCACTTTATATTTACGGGTTATTACAAAACTGATTCTTTAAATTGAATTTTATCAAAAAAGTTTATAATTTTAGCTAAAGGGCTGATTATGTATTTTTGTTCCTTAAATATAATATTTAATAAGTGTTTTTTTTTAATGTAATGTGTCATTGTTTCGTGTTTCTTATTTGTATGTAAGCATTGTCTTTTAACAATATTTGTAAATCATGTAAAACATTGTGCAATTCGGCCGCGAGGCTGCGATATGATGTTTCTTAAATAAACCATTTAATAATAATACTAATAATAATACACGAAAGCAATGGAAAGTCTACACAAGGTATGTAACGTTAACCTGGGTGCGTGCACAAACACTGCCTTGTGGTGTACCGGAACAATGGGAGGTACCCCACAAGGAATGCCCACCGACTTGCGGGGTACCGTTTTGGTAGGGCCTACCCCACAAGTTTTTCACAAAATAGATAGATGGATTTTATTTAAAAAAACAAGGAATTTCCAAGGTGGGTTGATCCGTCGCAAATTGAAGACTTTTAGAAAAGGGGTATTAAGTCCCAATTTCAGCTTAGGAAATTAATTCTGGTTAAAATAAGAGGATTTTGACATTAGGCCAAAAAAAAAAGTCTCCGGTTTCTGGTATGGAGCTTGTCCAAAAGTGGTACGGCGACGCGGCTTTTTTTTTTTTTTTACCTGATTTTTGCTTCAAATGTCGGCTGATGACTGCAAATAATGCCCGACTAAACTTAGTGCAAATATATGGGAGTCCAGAGAGGCCACATAAAGCTTATTCTCGATCATAACCCCATCTAAAAACACGTTAAAATTGTGCAGCAGCAGGATTCCAGTCTAACCAGTGAGTTTGGTGGTTTTGAGACATCATCTTTCATTGAAAGAAAAAACGTTTTCATTTTGCCGACGCGCATGGTACGGCGACGCGCGCGCATACCAGAAACCGGAGACTTTTTTTTTTTTGCCTTAGTGTGCGACATTGCAAAATTGTAGTACACGAGAACAAAGGAAGTACCCCACTTCTATGCCTGTGTAAGGTATCTGATACACCGTTCCCTCTGGAGACGTGCACACAATAGGGAACACAAGATTGTATACGTCTCCATAGGGCAATTTCTATAGATGAATATGTCTCCACAAGATTTTCACGAAATAGATATCAGGATTAAGTCCGAATTTCAGCCAAGGAAATTAATTCTGGTTAAAATAAAAGCATTTCGAAACGTCACTTTCAAACTCGAAAACGTTATTACACGAGAACAAAGAAATGTCTCCACAAGAATACAAATTTCAGTATGTGTGTTGACGAATACATGCTAGGCGGAGCGCAGTGCTGTGTGAATGCTCAAGACCCTCCGTTTGGTCAATTAGGACCGACAACAGATTTTGACGAGCGAAGGCCGATTATGTCCTACCCATAATATCCGACGGCGATTAGGTCCGACCCATTGTGTCCGACGACCGATTATGTCCGACCCATTTTTCCAACGGCCGATCGAGTAATTAAACATGAAATGTATTTGTAGAACTATGTCGCTGAAAATGTGGAAGACAAATCCCGATTTAACACCGTGATGTGACAGTGCAGCCATATATAGCCCGATATCCAGAAGCATAGACATTTGCAAATAAATTTATAATAATGCACGCATGCGCATAATGATCTAGTGATTTTCTCTGAATTTTTCCAGGATTTGTCGCGTTTTTTCTTTTGAAACCCCCTTCAAACGCCGAAGGCATGACTTGAATTTTTGGGGGCACAGAATAAAAACAGTCAAACTTGCTTTCGTCCCGGTTCCGTGCGCATGAGAGTGAAAGAAATCAGCAGAGTTAATTTCTTTCACCCTCGTGCACACGAGACGAAAGCAAATAATAAAGATTATATTCTCTGCCCCTAACAACACACTAAGGCATCAGGGGCGGATCCAGGGGCCGGGGGGTACCCTCCCCCCAGCTTTGTCAAAAAAATTACGGTTCTGAAGGTTGGACAGATTCACCTACTCTCAGTCACCATCAAACCATTCGTGCTGGATATTCTAAATAAACTTCCCTGGGTTCTACAATAATGATATATCTTCTACATTATTAGTTATGCATAGACCTGCAAATGCAAATATTAAAACTCTTCGATCGAACGTCGGACACTATATGAGTCGGACATAATCGGTCGTTGGACATAATGGGTCGGACATAATCGACCGTCGGACCAATGTGTTGGTCATAATCGGCTTTCGGACACAATGGGTAGGACATTATCGTCTGTCGGACATGATGGGTCGAACATAATCGGCCGTCGGACATAATGGGTCGGACATAAAAGGCCGTCGAACATAATGAGTCAGACATAATCCGCCGTCGCTCGTCAAAATCTGTTGTCGATGTCGGGCGTAATCGACCAAATGGAGATAATGCTCTTGAACATGTGTATAATGCAAGTTGAATCGAATCGACTAGAGTCACTCAATTCAGGGATGCGAGTAGTGGTGGATGCTGGAAAATGGTCACATTCTCAACATACACCACTACTCGCATCACTGATCACCAAATGTTTTGTGACATGTGACATGTAAAGTTTTAGGTATAAGTTTCATCCAGGAAGGATATTTTGTTCTGTTTATAATAAATGATGGCACATAATATGTGATTACATTCTCATAGGGCTTTGAATTATGACGTAACATGTCACGTGATGACGTCATGCTTACGTCACATCAATTTCCATTCATATGTCACGTGATGACGTCATCATATTCATTGATTTGTAGATAACAATTAAGACAGAGCATACATCGTTGAAATCAATTTCACATATTTCACCAATTTTAAATTACAAGGCACTTCTGGTTTCAACCGGAAGGAATCGCCACATGATTTTGCACATCATATCAAAATTAAA